GGAGACAACCTTCATGTCAACAGAAAAAGGGGTGCTGTCCTTGGGAGAGTCAGGAGACCCAGAGCCCGAGGGACCTTGGAATGCAAAGGCCTGGAAGCGGGGCTTCTGGGGGGTGGCGCCGGGAGCCCTGGGTTCCCAGGGCTCTCCCTGGTCTCTGGGCAGCCTCCTTCCCGTGCAGCCTGCCTGGCTTCTTGTGGGCAGGACCCAGAGACCCTTCAAGAGGCCAGGGCTGGGCTGGTCTCAGTCAGGTCAGCATCATGGGGCCCAGCTTCCCTGGACTAGACACCCCTCTCCCGTCACGTTAGCAGAATTCTCGACCCTGCTGCTGCTCCCTTGGCCCCTGGCCTGTGGGAGAGGAGAGTGTGTCTGAGCCTGGACCCAGGGCGTACAGCTCTCCTGACCTCACTCCTTGCTCTTGCCCCAGATTTCCCACTTTTGGTGAACATCCCCAGAGGGCCCCCGGAGCCAGGCCAGCAGCAGAGATGGAGTTGCCAGGGTCCGGCACACAGCCCACCAGCCCCAAGGCCACCCAGGAGCCGTCCCTGGCCAGCCTGTGCGCCCTGGTGGACCTGTGTCTGGCCTGCTCCTGCTGCACCCCACATCTCAGTGAGAGCACCTATCTGCAGAGCAGGGTGGAGCACAGCTGTGCCTGGGACATCCTGCTGGCCCGCCTGAAGAGAGCCTCCGAGAGCAGTGTCTAGCGCAAGGTGGACTGCCCGCCCAGCTTCCCGCAGCCTGTGCACGGTGAGGTCTGCCGCTACTACAGCCCGGGGCTTGGCTGCAGGCGCCACGGCAACCGGTGCACCTTCGCCAGGAGCCCCGAGGGGGCGCTAGTCTGGCCCTTTGAGCTCGAGCACAACGTCGGCCACCTGTGGGTGAAGGTGGGGGCGCAGAGCGGCGCGGCCCAGGGGAAGCCGCTGGCCCCGGCTGATGCCATCCTCGCGGAGTTTGGTGGCCCCTTCCAGACACTCCGCTCTCCCTGCTTCCAGCACCGCCCCCCGCGCATCTGTCCAGTGGAGCCCCAAGGCTGGTGCCCCGATCATGGGAACTGCCCCACTCTCCTGGCTCATGTGAGCACGGGGGGCTGTCGAAAACAAGTCCTGGTGGTGCAGGTAGGTGTCTGGGGCCACCAGCCCCTGGCCTACTGCGAATGCGTGTAGCGAGGGTGTTGGTGCCGGCACGGCATGTCCCGCCGCCGCTGTGATCACAACACTGTGGAGGTGCCTGTGTGGGAGGCCCAGCTCGGTCGGAAGGGCCTGCTCACGGCCCTTGCCCTCAGTGGGGATGGGCACACAGCCCCCTATGGGCAGCGCCCCAGAGTCCAGCTGGACTGCCATGCCTGCCTGTCACCTGCCACTCCCAGGAGGCCTCCGAGAACCACTGCTCCTCCTTGGAGCATGCACAGATACTGGAATCGAAACTAGTCGTGCCCTTGAAGCACCACAGCCTGCCTACTGGGCTCGCCCCTCTGGAGCTCTGCCTGCGGTAAGGACAGGAAAGCGGGGTTTGGGGATGGGGGATGAACCCCCTTCAGCTGGAACCAGGATTCCCTGTCTTCTGTGTGGCCTCTGAGGGGTGGAGAAGGGGGGTCCACGGAGGCCACTCCTGCCGGGTTCTGGGTGTGCAGCAGTGGGTGGGATGGGGGTGCTCCCTGCCCTCTGCCTGGTATCAGCTTTGCTCCCCAACGTGGATGGGTCAGTGTTGGGCTGAGGGCCCTCACCCCCGTGTGGCCTGCTGATCACCCCTGCTCCCGCCAGGCCCAGCCTCTGTGAGTTCGGGGACTTCTGAAACAAGGTGCAAAGCAAGAGCTGCAGGAGTGGACCCAGAATTCTGGACCGTGAAGCTGAGGTGGTCAGCGGCCTGGCAGGATGGGCTGGGGTCTCACTGCGAGAAGCTGCTGGCTGAGTGCCAGGACAGTGCCGGTGAGGTACTGGTGGTAAGTGGGGGCTGTGAGAATGGGGGCAGAGCTGACCCAGGGTTGCCCTGCTGACCCCTGGCTTCCTGGGCAGTTGGCCGAGACCCTTGACCATGTATCTGTCGGCTGCAAGCGGCCCCTGGTGCGGTGGACTTGGGAACGGCAGGCGGCGCACGCCTGGACCTTCAACATCTATTCTGAGGTGAGCAGCTGCACAGTCAGGGGGCAGCTGGGGTCTGGGGTCCGGAGCTCTGCCCTGGGCAGCCTCTCCTGAGTCTGGGATCTGAAGCAAGCCTGTGTCTCCCGCTGGGGTTGGTGCAGAGAGGGAGTGCTGGGCTGGTCCCCACTGAGCGCCCCACACTGCCCCCATCACCTGGGCCACAATGGCTATCCAGGCTGGCTCAGTGACCCCATCTTGCAGAGGAAGCCTCATGGTTCAAAGAGGCCAAGGGCCCTGCTGGGGTCACAGCCAGGAGGGAAGGGAGGGGTCAGTGCTGCAGCCTGGACCTTGATGGGCAGGGTGGATTCCAGGGGCCACCTCACCATCCATCTTCTGCCCCAAGAGCCCCTGCGATGTGTGGCCCTGCTCAAGCAAGACCTTGGAGCAGACTTCTCACGGTGGCCCCCAGCCTCTCAACAGGCCGGGTCTTTGCCCAGAGAGAGCACTTCTGCGTGCCCGGCTGTCTGGCCATGTTCCGGGTGGGGTGCTCGGGCAGAGCGCTTCCCCAGGCACCTTCGAGCAATGGGTGGTCTTTGATTTTGGCTGCCGGCCGGTGCTGCTTAGGAAGCTGGAGTTGCAGGCGGGCTGGGAGCACTTCCGGGGCCCTGGGCGACGCCCACCTGGCCACCTCCCTGAGGAGCCGGACCGCTGGAACACAGGCAACCGCCACGTGGTGCCTGGCTTGGAGAGGATGGCGGTGCCCAGGTGGCCAAGTCCACGGGGCCTGCTCCAGCCCTGGAGTCCCCTGACCAGGGCCCCATCTTTCCCACCGGCCCCGGCAGCAGCTGCACTGGGCTCTGTGTGAGGAGGAGGCTGCTCAGCGACACCCGGTGGCCAAGTGAGTGGGGCCGGCGGGGGCAGGGGCTGCCTGGTGCCCGCTGCAGCACCGCGGGCCTGGTCAGCCGACCCATGTTCTCCCCCTAGGCTGAACTGTCGGACAGCACAGGAGACGTCAGTCCTGGACGCACTCTTGCCGCCACGGGGAGCCCTGCACACTGAGACCCCCATCCCCTCCTCGATGCCTGACGTGGACGAGGGCTTTCTGCTGAGAAGGCGCTCGTGGCCCCCGTGCCTGGGCCTGATCCCAGGGTGTGCGGGGTGTGGGTGGAGACGCGGCCCAACTCGGGGCAGGTGCTGTGGCTGCTGCTGCCTGCCCACTGTTGCGCGGCCCTGGGGCTACAGCCCAAGCCTGGGCGCCCCATCTTGGAAGTGCAGTTCCAGATTGATCTGCTGCCCTTCCACCTCTGGCACCGGGCAGTGGACGCACTGCCAGAGGAGGGCCTGGTGGTTCCTGACCTGTCAGCCTGCACCCTGCCCTGCCCTGGGCCTGTCTCACCCACACTGCAGGGCAACCGCAGGCAGAAGCAGGCTGTGGCGGTCATCACAGGGACCAGCCCTGGGGTAGGGGCAGCCTGTTGCCCCTCTGCTCGTCTGTGGCCCCTCTGGCACGGGCAAGACCTACACGCTGGCCATGGCCTCCCTGGAGGTCGCCTGCCAGCCCCTCGTAAGGTGCTCCTCTGTACGCGAACCAACAGGTGAGCTGGGGCCGCTGGGCTGCTCTCCCCGCTCCCCGGCCTCGCCCCAGGAGAAGAGGAGGGACCTGGGGGTCTGGGGTTCGGGCTGGTTCCCAGGTTCACTGGAGATCTCAGCGGCTAGTTCCAGGAGAGGGTGGGGGCTGGGCTGGTGGCAGTGAAGCCCCTGGGGCCAGTCCCAGCCACTTGAGAGTCTCCCTGACAGTCAGTACAGGGCTGAGGACAGGGGACGCCTGTGCTTCAAGCCCGGTGCATGGTCTCCTGTCCACAGAGGAACATGGGCCAGGCAGAGTGGTGGGTAGGGTTGTGGCTTGACCCCCACCCCAGCATTTCCTGGGGCGAGACTTGGGTGTTCTGAAAATCCTGTCATAGTTCCCCCCAGATGGACAGCTGCTCCAGCACGGGGCTCCCCATCTCTGCCAGGGCTGACTGGTTACAGGACTGGGGCTCCAGGGGCCCGTGTCAGGCAGAGGCCCTAGCTGGTGGTCCTGTCTCCTTCGGAGAGGTGGTGCCAGGTCTTGCTGCTCCCTGGCTGCTCAGGGTCAACCCAGTCTCGGGCCGCCCTGGTGGCCCGGCCCATGCTGCGCCCTCCCCAGGGCTCTGCTGCTGTCTGGTTCTCATCGGGCACTGACCTCCTGCTTCTCTGTCTGTCCCCTCTGCTGCAGGGTCGGACTGCCTGTTGTCTGGGCAGGGGGGGCGCACGGGAGGCACTTTAGCAGACAGGCGCTGTGCCCTTCTCCACCACAGGGCGGCTGACACCTACACTGTGGAGTATTTCCGCCCCTACGTCAGCAGCAGTCACCCTGAGGCCGCTCCCCTCTGGGTGGTGCACACGGACTGCCCGCCCAGCCTGACGGACGCGGCCACGCTGAGGTACTGCTGCCTGACCGAGGACCACCAGGCCTTTCGCCTGCCGACATGGAGCGGCACCACATTGTGTTGGCCAGCACCTCCCAGACACACGAGCTCGGGGTGCCCATTGGCTTCTTTTCCCACATCCTCATTGACCAGGCCTCCCAGATGCTGGAGTGGGAGACGCTCACCCCGCTGCGTTACGCTGCGCCCGGCACCCGAGTGGTGCTGGCGGGCAACCACGTGCAGGGCACGCCCCGGCTCTTCAGTGTGGTAGGGCGCCCGGGGGCCAGACATGCTGCTGCACCGCCTCTTCGAGCACCACTGGCAGCAAACACTCCAGGTCGCCCAGAGGAGCTGCATTATTTTGTACAAGAATTACTGCTCCACCCAGACCGTTGTCTGCTTTGTCTTCGACCACGTCTCCCTAGCCAGCGGCCGCTCCATCCAGGCCAGCGGCAAGATCCCTGGCCACCCCGGTGGTACCCGCTCCAGTTCTGCTGCGTGGTGGGCAGCTCCAGTGCGACGTCTCCACGACGTCTTGGCTGAATGCAGCCGAGGTTCTTCAGGTTGTCGAGAAGGTACAGGAGGTCTGTAACTCCTGGCCCCAGTGCTGGGGCCACCGGGAGCAGAGGAGCACCGCGTTGTGTCCCACAGGGCCCAGGTGAGACCCTGCTGCCCAGGGCAGCTTCCCCCAAGCCCCGTTTCCCGGGGAAGCCTCCCTCCGCCTGTGGCCTGGTAGGCCTCCTCTGTCTGCTTTCCTTCCATACGAGGGTCTGAGATATTCAGATACTCACCTCCCAGGACCTGGGAGCCAGGGTCCTGTCCTTGGCAGGGGACGCTATGCCTCATTGGGGCCCCTCACCTGACCTGGTGGTGTGTCTCCAGTGAGTGCGCTGAGGCAGGAGCTGAGGAAGAGGGACCTGGGCCAGGTGTCTGTGGGCAGCTTTGAGAATCTGCCAGGTGGGTGATCGGTGCTGGGGGGAAGCGGGGCCCCTCCCCTCCCCCTCCTGTCCCCCTCCCCCTCCCCTCCCCCCCTCCCTTCCTCTCCCTCTTCTGGCCCAGCCTGACCCTGTAACTGCCCCCCTCTCAGGCGGGACTTCCGGGTGGTGGTGCTGGGCGCGCTGCACACCACCCGCAGCCTGCTGAGCCGGGGGCACCGGCCCCAGGGTGCTTCACGGACGCCCGCGTGCTCAGCACCGTCACGACCCACACGCAGGCCCAGGTGGCGGCGTGGGCGACGCTGTGGCCCTCTGCTCCCTGAAGGCTTGCAGCAAGCTCTGGGGGAGCTTCCTCCGTGAGTGTGTGGAGCACGGCGCCGTCTGCCCCGAGGGCCTGTCGCTGGAGCAGATCCAGAAGCAGAGCTGGGCCAGCTGCTGGCAGCCTGCGGCCCAAGAAACAGAAAGGTTTGTGGCAGCAGATGCCAAGGACACTGTTCCAGAGGAGGGGGTAGTGGGGGGTGGGCCACAGCACATGTGGGAGGGGCATGGTCCCCAGAGGCGCTGTGGCAGGACCGTCAGCCCCAGAGATCAGGGAGCCCGAGGGCCCTGTGGGCTTTTGGCCTTCTGACAGGGAGCTCGGCAGCAACGAGCCCCGCCCGCAGCAGCTCCTGGACCACCCCCGGGACGTGACAGTGACCGTCCAGGAGGATGGGCTGCTGGACAGCTTCGCCCGGCCCTTGTCTCCCCAGCCGGCGTGGCAGTATGTGAACCTGCCGGAAGCCAAACAGCAGAAACTTCTCCACAAGTGGCCCCAGCAGCACTGCCGCTGCGCCTTCCTGCGAGAGAGCCTCCGGGAGGTGAGAGCGTCCGCTGGACGATGGGAAGTTTGGGCCCAACCAGCTCAAGGGCCGCCTGCACTGCGGGATGGCATTCCCTGGGGGACGAGGCGCTGGTGCAGGTCCTCAGCTGGGCCGGGTGGCCTCAGGGCTGCGTGCTGAGCATTCATCAGAGGGAGCATCGCCAGCTGGCGTTCGTGTGCCATGTGGACGAGTGGGACCCCTGCGTCATGACCCCCGTCAATGGCTGTGCCACCAAGGTCTTCGTGGCTGGGCTGCAGGACCCACTGCAGGTGCCTGTCCACCACCTTCTGCAGGGCCGCGTGCAGCGCGTGGGGCACGAGCCGCTCTCGGTGGAGGCCCGGCACTGCCGCCTCTTCTGGGTGTGTGTCCTTCTGTGGTGGGAGCACTTCTACTACCCACTGGGCGTCCTAAAGGTGCTGCCCGAGGCCACCACCTGGGAGCAGTCTCCAAATCTTGGACCTGGCCTGCAGGCTGAAGGAGCCTCCCCACACCCGGCCTCGGTCCGCGGAGGCGCTGCACAGGCACCACGCTGAGCTCAGCCGGGCGCCCAGCTGCCTGGAGGGCTGCAGCAGCTTCCTGGCCTTCGCCGTGGACCCCCGCTCACCTGCAACCTGGACGGCGCCATCAGCGCCCAGGACCGGGGCCCCATGTATGAGGTGGCCACGCACATCGCTGACATGGTCAGCTGCATGCCCAGGGATGAGGGCGCTGGGCCTGGAGGCCTGCAGGCGGGGGGGGACCACCATCTACGCCCCTGACCAGGAGCAGGGTCCATGCTGCCAGCCAGCCTCCTGCCAGGCCAGCACCACCTAGCCGTCTCCCGCTTCCTGACGACCGAGAAGGGCAGCAGCCAGCTCAAGAGCGAGTGCTCTGCACCCGCTGTGATCTGCTCTGACCACCAGCTGACCCGTACAGAGGCGGAGCTGGTGACCGGGGGCACCGGGGCGCCGGCCTCAAGCTGCCAGCCTGCCTGGACTCTGTGCACGCCTGCGTGGCAGCCGCGTGCTACTTCTCCCGCCTGCTGCGCCAGCGCCGCCTCAGGGGCAACGGTCATTACAAGCAGCTGACGGGGACAGCGTGCTGGGCCTCCGCGTGGCCCACAGGATGGTCGAGGAGTACATGGTCCAGTTCAACAGCCAGGTGGCCAAATTCCTGGTGGACAGTGAGGGTACAAAGGGGGTCACACCCTTGCGGGTGCAGCGCGAGCCCAGCTTCAGCTGGCTCCGAGCCCTGAGCCAGGACCAGGAGGACTGGGTGCCATTGTCCCCACACCTCTGCCACCACCGGCTGGGCAGCTTCAGCTCCTACATCTCCCCAGACCTGCAGCTCCACGTCCTGGTCTCCGTCTAGAGGTAACTCCAGCTTGCAGCCCACGCCCAGGGCTTCATCTGACTGGCGGATCTCATCGCCACGGACGATGTGCACCCTTGCCTGGCTCCTGCCCTCCTTGACTTGTGCAGGGCCCAAGGCCGCACAGTCTTCAGCCGCCAGGGCATGGAGCTGGATGGCCACTACCTGCTGCAGGTGGACAGGTACACCTGGGCCACCTCACCCATTTGCAGGTACTTGGATGTGGTGCTGCAGCGGCAGATCCTGCTGGCACTGGGCCAAGGAGGGTCCCCCTGCACGCCCGGAGACATTGACGAGCTCTGCCAGGACTTCAGTGGCCAGTACAGGTGCGCCCAGAACTTCCAGCGCTGGGCTCGCGGCCTGAACCTGGCCACCCGGCTCAAGACCCAACCGCAAAGCAAGCTGGGCTTTGTGGTGGCCGCGGAGGACACCTGCTTCAAGCTGTTCTTCCCAGCCAGCCACAAGACCCTTCTGGACCTCGACCCCGTGCACTGCAGCTCCCTGCAGCCACCCAAGCACCCCTGCAGCCGGCTACGCACCCCTGCGGCCGGCCAGGCACTTCTGTGGCTGGCCAGTGGCTGCAGCTGCAGCTCCTATGGCGGCACCACGCTTACTCCACGCAGGCCGGTGGGCGGTGCCCCCCACTGCCCGGCACCCCGCTTGACCCATGTGTCCAGCCTGTGGACGCCACCCAGTGGCAGCAGCTGCTGAGGCTGATGAAGAAGCCGAGGGTGGACAGTGGGGCGAGCCCAGCTTCGAGCCCCAGCAGCAGGAGCCGGGACAGGCGAGGTGGAGCGCCTGCGGCCCTTCGTGGAGGCAGCCCGGGAGCTGGTAGTGGGGATACACTGCACGTACAGCTCCAGCTCAGTGCCGCCCTGTAGCGTAGGCTCCTGGAGCCGGTCCCGCAGCTGTGGTCTGTGGCGCCTGACCTCAGCCTTTGCCTGGAGCACGTGGAGCAGCCAGGGGACGGCTTCTCGCCCTGTGTGCCCCAGGGGGGTCGGGACTGGCACCAGGACGTGGAAGACTAAGCCTGGAGTCGGCTGCCCACGCTGACTCCAGGCTTAGAACGATCCTGTGACTTTGCAGGATGTGGCCATACCCTGTGGGGCGGAGCAGACGCCCCAGGGGCAGCTGCAGGGCACCTTCTGCCTGGAGCCCGCCTTCCTCCGGGAGCATGGCATTGACATCAGCTTTGGCCACTGCTACCCGTGCATCCGATTCGAAGGGCTGCTGGCCACACCACGCCCCCCGGCCAGCTGCGTCATCCCTGTCCGAAACAATGACCCCGACACACATACCTGGGTGACACCCGGGCTGGCGGAGGACTGGAGCCCAAAGGAGGGCTGGGCCGACCTGCGGGATGCACCTAAGCAGGTGCCCTTCCTCCTTCAGCACGTGGCCATGGGTGTGGTTCTGGAAGAGGTGCTGAGGCCTGGGGCCGCTTCACCGCCCGGGGCCTGTGAGTGGCTTCCGGGGAGAGGCTGGCGGGTGGGCTGGGTGTGCTGGGAACCCCCGTCTCCTTCTGGGGTGGTGGCCCGTGGGCAGTGCTCCTTGCCCGGGAAGATCCTGCTGGTGTCTGGTATCCATCTTCACCCCCACCTGCCCCAGCTGCCAAGAAGAAGCTGTGCGTTGGCTCAAGCGTGCATCCCCGTGGGTCATCAGCATAGCCCAGGGCCAGCCAGCAGCCCCTCCACAGAGGTGGGTGGATGGGGAGCCCTCAGCTTCACCTCTCCGGCCCTGCCCCGGCCAGTCCTCAGAGGTCTGCCTCCTTCCTCAGGGACCCCCAGCAGCTTCCTGGATGACCAGCCTTCGACATTCCTGGAGGCCATCACAAGCTGAACCCAAGCCAGAACAAGGCCGTTAGGGAGGCTCTGAAGAAGCAGTTCACGGTCATCTGGGGCCCACCAGGGGGGACCCACCTTGGGGGAGCTGTGGGACTGCCCAGGCAGGCAGGTGGGGGCTCTGCTCAACCCATGCTCTGCCCACAGGCTCTGGGAAGACGGTGCTGGGTGTCCACACTGCCTACTGGCTTTGCACGTCAAACAAGGAGCAGGTGCCAGCCTATGGCTCCCACAGTGGCCAGCTGTGGGGGCCCCCATCTTGTGCTGCAGCCCCTCCAACCAGTCGGTGGCGTGCTGGCAGGCGCACCGGGGCAGCCGGAGGGGCTCTGCCCGGGGGAGCTGGGTCCGGGAGCTGTCACTCACACCCTGGCTTCCCCAGCACTTCTCCTGAGCAGGAGGGCAAAGCTGAAGCCCCTTCGCGTGCACAGGGAGCAGGAGGAGGCCACTGAGTGCCCAGTGCCGGGTGTGGGCAGCAGGGGCCCCCTAAGAAGACCCCTCAGGTGGGGAGGCCCAGCCAGACCCTCAGGTGCAGCCTCTCCACTGTTGTTCTATACAGGGTGGAGGCGAGGGGCGGGGGCTGTCCAGCTGGCCCTGCCTCGGGCAGGAGCCAACACGGCTTCACACAGGTCTTCTCACTGCCACCCGCCGCAGGAGCATCGCCCTGCATCACCGGGTCCGGCAGTCTTCCAACGCCCATGCGGCTGACGTCAGGGCCTCGGTGCCCGGCTGCAGGAAGGGGAGATCTTCTCCAAGGAGGACCTCAGCTGGTAAGCAGCTGAAGCCATGGGGCTGCCTCCTGGCCTAGGGTGCAGGGGTGCAGCCTGGGCGACCATATGGTGTCCCCATAGGTACAGGAAAGTCCTAGGGCAGGCTTAGAAATTCGAGCTTGACCGGCACTGCACCGTCCTGTGCACGTGCTGGCATGCGGGCTCCGCCAGCCTTGGGGACCTGGACATCCGGCAGATCCTTGCGGATGAGGCGGGTGTGGCCTCGGAGCCAGAGACCCTCATTCCCCTGGTGAACTTCTCCCAGGCTGAGAAGGTGGGTAAAGCAGGAGCTGAGAGCCCAGGCGTGTGTCCCTGGGGGTGCAGAGGTGCAGGGAATACGTGGGCAGCTCCAGGGTGGGGCGCTGCTGGCCGAGGGGTCAGGACCATGCCTGCCTGTCCTCCCAGGTGGTCCTTCTCGGGGACCACAAGCAGCTGCGGCCTGTGGTCAAGAGTGAGCTGCTGCAGAAGCTGGGGCTGGACCGGTATCTGTGACAGAGGTACTTCAGGGGTGCCTGCCTGTGGGACGTGCAGTACCACATGCTGAGTGCCCAGAGCTCTTGGGCCCAAGGTGGGCGAGGGCCAGCCTGGCCCTGACTCCTGTCCCTGCCTTCCAGCATGAGCGCATCTGTGCCTTCCCCTCAGGGGAGTTCTACGAAAGGGAACTGAAGACCTGGCAGGGCCTGGGCAGGCCGCCCAGTGTCCTGGGCCACGCTGATGAGAAGGGCTGCTCGGTCATCTCTGGCCACTTGCAGAGCAAAGAGAAGAGCCGGCTGCTGTCTACGGACAAAGAGGGTGAGGATTCCAAGGCAAAGGATGAGGAGATGGCATTGGTGGCGGCCCTCCCCCGGGCCCTCCCTGGTACCCCTTGCTTGGGAGGGCTCCCTGGGGGAGGAGGCAGAGTCGCTGAGGGAGCCCAGGGTGGGACAAACATCAGGGCTGGCTTCACCGGCACCCCTGGTCCCTCAGGTCTGCATCGCCAGAGAGCTGCCTCTGAGGGGGACAGTGGGCCCCAAGAACATTGCCATCCTCACGCCCTACATTGCCCAGCTGGCTGAGATCAGCAAGAGACTTGAGCATCAGGAAGATGTTCCACGAGTGACCGTGTGTTCCATCACCAAGAGTCAGGGTGGGGCTGGCACCAGGCGGGAGGCCTGTGCGCGAGGGGTCAGGTGGGTGGGTGGCAGGGGCCTCACCAGACTCGCCTCGCCTCCAAGGGAGCCAGTGGCACTATGTTATAGTGAGCATGGTCCGCACCTGTGACAAGAGTGACATAGACCCGCGACCGACTAAGAACTGGCTGAAAAACGCCCTGGGCATCATTGCGGACCCCATCCAAGTGACCGTGGCCCTCGCCCGGGCCCAGGAGGGGCTCTGTGTCATCGGTGAGAGCTGGTCAGGGACGGAGGGCTGGGGCCGCTCCTCCTGCAGGCAGGGCTACCTCTGACTCCTGCTTCCCCTCGCAGGAGACCACCACCTTCTGCGCTGCTGCCCGGTCTGGTCCTGACTCCTGGACCTCTGTGAGGCCCAGCAGAGCCTGGCCCCGCCTCGGAGGTGAAAGTCTATGGGAAGTCACACTCTCCCTGAAGACCTCACTGCCCTCAGGCTTCCAGGACAGCACGGGAGAGTCCAGAGCCCTCTTCTGCCACCGCCTTGGCGGGCCCCTCTCAGCAGGACCCACGGGCCTTCAGTGGTCACTGCCAGACTGAGCAGGGGTCGCGGGGGGCCAGCTGTGGCCGTGCACAGTTACCACCCAGGCTGGGAGCAGGCCAGCCTCGCCTTGTGTGCAGACTTGGGAGGAAAGGGGACGAGTCTGCGCTCCACCCTCCTGAGCTGCTGCACTGGGGCACTTGGTGGCAGGGAGCATCTCGGGTTGGAGTGGTTCTAGTGTCACTGGGAAGGTTTGGGGTCAGGACGGGAACCCCGTCGGGGCTGTTCTTGGACCGTCTCTGACTACACTGGGTGTGGTCTGTGGGGCTCGAGTCATTCTCTAGTTTCAAATAAACCAAAAGCTAGCGTCTCTTACTGGAGCAGGGTCCTCAGCCCAAACTCAAGGCAGGGAGGCCTCCCCGGAGGGAAGACAGGGCCTTTTCTCGGCCATCAGTGCCCCATCTAACTCAGACCCACACCCCTGTGTCCTTCAGGCAGGGGAACCAGGTGACAAGCCCCTTGTGGACATGGGGCTCTACTCTGAGCTCCGCAGCCCCCTCGCAGCTTCGGGCCTGCTCCCAGGGCAGGGCCACCCAGCTGGGTCTGCGTTTCTTTGCAGTACTGAGGACCTGGATCTGCCCCTCAGGCCGTGTCTGTGTCCTGCCGTGTGATGCCGCAGAGCGTGTGACAGTATGGCTTAGCCCCTGGCCAGCACACAGCACCATGAGTGCGTCAGAGGCTGAAGAGGCCTCGGAGGGGGCCCCAGGCTAGACCGCCCCAACCCTGCAGTGCACTGTCCACAGTCGGGGAGGGGGTTGCTGGGCCTTCCTGGCACAGCTGGGGGCCCCTCAACCAGCCACGTGTCAGTGGGGGGGGCTGTCTTCCTGGCCACACCTTCTCTTCTCAGAGGTCTGTCGTGGTGACCACCATAGTGTCCGTGGTGAGGGGCAGAAAGCTAGTTATCAGTGTACTGGGGGTGGTTCTGGGCCTCTTCCCACTGACAGTCCTCCTCAGCCATAGCCGGGGCACACAGCACAGCCAGGGCTGTCCCTCCTGGACCCATGGACGCAACGGCCACATCGCCTTCCAGAAGTGGACGTGTGTGCGGGGAGGGAGCGAGCTGCTGGCCGATCTGGGGGTGACACGACCACAGAGGACGAGGACAGACTCCCCAGGTCACCCACACGGGCTGGACGCTGGAAGTTGGTGGGAAGCGCTGACGAACTGCAGGGAGGACCACCCAAACAAGACCTGGCCAGGCTCCCTTACTGGGACCTCGGCCACCCCGGGTGGGCGTCACCCTGGGTGGGGCTGCAGTGAACTTCAGCTTCGTTTGGGGAGAAGATAAGACTTTAATTTTCGTTAAAAGAAATGTCCTCTTGGCCATGGGCCCCGTGTCTCCGGTGAAGCTGGGGGCGGTGGTACTGGGGCGGTGGTACTGGGGGCGGTGGTACTGGGGGCGGTGGTACTGGGGCGGTGGTACTAGGGGCGGTGGAACTGGGAGTGGTGGAACTGGGGCGGTGGAACTGGGGGCGGTGGAACTGGGGTGGTGGTACTGGGGGCAGTGGTACTGGGGCGGTGGTACTGGGGGCAG